ACCAGCCCTTGATATGCTTTTCAGTGAAATCTTTTTCTTTTTTCCTCATGCTGGGATTGAACTCGGCACCTTGTACTTCCCAGGAAGGCGCTTGTGCTGCTGAGCTATCCCCCATCTTAATGAAATCTTATAGATGATACTTACTTATATTGACTCCAGCTAAAGTTAGATGATAGGAAAAAGGCCCAGAGAACCAACTGAATGAAATGATAGTAAAATGTGGCCTTATTTATTTTTTAGTTTTCGGAGGATTTAGGGTTGTTTTGTTTTGAAACAGTCTGACTATGTACTCCAGGCTGGCTTTGAACTCACTGTGTAGCCCAGGCTGGTCTTGAACTTGTGACAATCCTTCTGCCTTCCGATTGCCTTCACAATCTTTCAACCTCTCTAGTGCTGAGATGATCGGCATTTGCCACCACTCCCAGCCAAGAGTGGTCTTACTTATCTGACCTCTAATTTCTTTGGACCATTTTACTTATAAGATAGTAATATGCCTAGTTGTTAAGAAAATAGGTTTCTGAATCCCCATTCCAGGTGCTGCACTTTCTAACTGTATAACGCTGGTCAAGAAACTTAAGTCTTCTGTACCTTGGTTTCCTCATTCTAGAAAAGGTTACCACATGAACTTCTAGGATTATGTGAACTTAATTTTGAAAGCCCATAGTATAGGGCTTGGTATATAGCAAGTGTTTTGGTTTGGTTTTTGGTACTCGGAACTGCTGAGTTACAGCCCAGGCCCTGTAGCAGAGCTGTTATAGAGAAGACCCTCCAAACACCTTTGTGGACTGCATGCTGAAGGGTTACCAGCATACTCTTCACTTGCCTTCCTGTCTTAAGTTCTTGTGTTTCATAATTCTGATTCTGTTCAATCCTAAATATATGACATTGTATTAGAAATTTTTGAAAGAGGGGCAGTTGGCAGTTATCTTCCTTTACAATTAGGAGGAACTAGAACAAGTGATACATTTATTGACCCCATAAGTTACTAAATTGCACGGAAGAGAAGTTATAAAACTTTAATCAGAACTAAAGTGTAAATTGTAGCTGGGGTATGGAGAGATGAATCATGGTCATTTTCTGTCTGTATTACTTGATAAAGAAAAGAGAGAAGCAAGTTAATAAAAGTAATGATTGGACATAATCCAGGGGTGTGCCCTAAATTTTAAGACAGCTTTTCTGTGTGTAAGAAACACTTGTTGATATTATACCATGTAATATCGGTAACTTTTATACTGTTGCCTCACAGTTGTAGCCTAAGTATTCTAGTGGTCACATTGAGAGAGCCATTATAAAAAGTATTACAAGTTGTTTGAAAAGAAAATCACCTCACTCTGAAGCTGTTTCATGAATTGTGTCACTATAGAAATGGCCTTTACTCTCATCTTTCCTTAAAATGTCATACTTCTAGTTTTTGTATCAAGCTTCTTGAGTTAGGGAAAGGAATTTCTGAAGAACATTTCTGATGTAGTCCTTGAGAGATAGGATTTTCATACCCATTTGAAAAACCAAGCAGGAAGAAGTCATTTCCTTTGGAAAGCAGAATCTTGAATTTCATCATGTCACCTGTTAATACCCTATTAGATAAAAAGAGCCAATCTCTGATCTGTGTTAAGCAATTCAAACCTGTTTCTTGTTTAATTGCAGGAGGGAACCTGTATGACAAAATCCTTCGTCAGAAGGACAAATTGTTTGAGGAAGAGGTAATTCATATGTCTGTGAAAAGAAGCTAAAATTATAGGGCTGTAATTGTTTCTTGTTGGGTTTTTTGGCGGAACTGGGGATTGAACTCAGGCTCTTGCACTTGCCAGGGAAGCGCTTATTCCACTGAGCCATCTCCCTGGCCCCTTTTTTTGTTTTTTGAGACAGGGTCTCACTATGGAAGTCAGGCTGGCCTTCAGTTAACCGTATAACCCAAGCTGGCCTGAATGCCAGTGGCAATCCTCCTGTCTCAGCCTCCTGAGTGCTGGGATTACAGGTGTGTGCCACATCC